CATCCCTCCCACCCCCCCCACCACTCCAGCAACCCTCAGTTTGTTTCCTGAGATTAAGAATTCCTCCTATCAGTGAGATCATATGATACTTGTCTTTCTCTGATTGACTTAGCAAAATAACCTTCTGATGCTTGGGGACTGCTCTGATTTAGAAATACTGCCTTTCTCAGGCAGAGCCCAGTAAACCTACTTCCCAGGCTCTTTTGTAGTCTAGGCACGGGCATGTCACTGAGGTGCCAAATGGCCACACGTCTCTGACTTGGAGGTGAGGTGCCAAATGGCCACACGTCTCTGACTTGGAGGTGGGCAACGTGGAAAAGCAGGCCCAGCAAGGGGCAGACATCTTGCTGACGAGGGTAGCAGCAGAGGCATCAACGGCTCATGAGAAGGGGCTCCAGGGCCTGCAGCCTAAGCCAGCACCTCATGCCTGGGCGGTGGCAGCAGCAGCAGTTTCCATGGTGTGGTTTTGAGGCACTGTCTTGAAAGCCCTGCCTTGAACCTGTTTCTCTAGCCCTTCCAACAATTCAATGGCTATCCCAGTTCTTTTAATAAACCAAATCTGTTTAACTAACTTGAGGGAATTCTGTTATTTATAACTAAGAACTCTGATACAAGATGTAAATGTTCGTCAAAACGGAAAGGGGGAAGATGAACACAAGGAAAGAGAAGGAAAAATAAGATAAAAACAGAGTGGGAGGCAAACCATAAGAACTCTTAACTCTAGGGAACAAACTGAGGGTTGCTGGAGGGGAGGTCGGTGGGGGGATGGGGTAACTGGGTGATGGGCATTAAGGAGGGCACTTGATGTAATGAGCACTGACTGTTATATACAACTGATAAATCACTGAATTCTACCCTTGAAACTAATAATACAGTATATGTTAACTAAACTGAATTTAAATAAAAGGATAAATAAATTACTGTATTACAGAATACTACATAGTAGTTAAAATGAATAAGGTATATCTATATGCATTCCCATGTAAAGACCTCCAAAAGATATTGAGTGAAAACAGCCAGGTACAGTGTGATACAGACTGCATGCTACTTTTATATGAGCACACAGGGACAACCAGGACAAACTTAACAAGAGAGTCATTGCCCTTGGGGTGCTTACAGTCCAGTGGCAGAAGACAAACATCAAACCAAAGGACAACTAAGTACATAATTGTGGTAAGGACCAGCAAAGAAATAAAATGATGAATGTAGGGAGGCATAATTTAGATTTTTCTGGCAGGTGAGAGTAGGTAGTCAGGACTATAATTTTTGAGGAAGTGAAAAATGAGAAGGAATTAGCAGGGGCTGAAGGGAGGAGGTGAGGCAGTCCACGGTGTGGGGAAGAGTTTTCCATCCCTGGAAATGAGAACTGTAAGGGCACCAGGATAGCAGGAAGCTAGGCTTATCTAAAGAACTAAAATAGCCCCTTGGTCTACAGTAAGCTTCTTTCCATCCCTGTTGTCACCGAAAGGATTTACCCTAAATTATGTAATTATTCCCCTGTGATGAAGTCCCTCCCTTGATAATACCAGAAGGTGAACATCTTTGAGCACAAAGCTTTTCTATATGGAGGACTCCTGTCTTGGTTCCAAAAGTAGGGTCACTGGGTGAAGTCCTCATAAACATTTAAGGCTCTTGATCTGTACTGTTAAACGGGCTGCACAAAGGTGATCCCAATGTCCGCTCCCACCAGCAGATGCCAACATGTCCCTGAGACTCACCAGCACATTAATGATCATGCTGTTCTCCACAGTGACAGCCTTCACAAGGAGCTTTCTGGACCCATCCTTAGACTCATACCGGAGGACATACAGGTCTTTATTGCTATTCCATTCGGCCGGCAGCAGTTCTGATTTCTTATCATTGGGACCTGGCTGAGAAGATACCAGGGTTGAGAGGAGGAAGATCTTCATAGCTCAACACAGAGAGCTATGAAGGACCTTGCAGATAATCTAATCCCACTTCCTCATTTCACAGATGAGGACATGGAGGTCAAGAGAAAGAAAATGTCCAAGTTAGAGGTCTGGGACCTAGTCTCTGGACTCCGGTTCCAGTGCTCCCTTCCTCCCTTGTAGCTGACTGTCTTCGTGACACAGTACCGGAACCTGTCCAGAATCTGCAGCCTTGGTTTGATAAGAATCTCCTCGCCAATCGCCTGAAGGGATACTGTGAAATTCTAAGACGGTGTTTTTCTAAGTTCAGAACCTGGACCATCTGCAAGAGGATCACCAAAGTGTTGACTAAAAATAAAGATTCCAGCGTACTCCCTTCCAGACTACTGTAGTGGTTTCACAGAAATGATGAACAATTTTCATACACACAAAATGGAGCATATGTACAAGATAAAACATCAGTGGACACCTATGTGCCACCTGCTTAAGAGAACACCGCCACTGCCAAAGCCTCAAGTAGGATACTCCTAATGAATCTCTCTTATTCCCTTCATGGGTAATCGCTTCTCTGTATTTTTTAAAATGTCTTTACTTTTCCTTATTGCTGTATTACTATTCACACAACCCTAAAAATATATTGCTTCACATGTGTTTGAACTTACATAAATGGCATCACCTTTATCACTTTTTTTGTCAGTTATTGTGAGATTTCACTGTGTCAAAACATTTAACCACGTATGGTGCACTACACGGCGCTCCGCGCAGCACAGTTCACAACTATACGGGGTGGTGGTGTTCGAGCACACTGCCAGGCACACACTCACTTGCTGATGCCTATGTGGACTGTGTACAGGCCCGCTGTTATAAGCGCTGCTGCTATGAACATTTGTGTATACATCTGCTGGTACACAGGGGGATGCATTTCTATAGCCTATGTGTGGGAAAAGAACTTTTAATTTGTAAGATAAAGTCAAACTGCCTTCCAAAGAGGTACGGATTCCACCACACTGTATGAGAGTCCTCGCAGTTCCATGTGGTCAGCAACATTGTCACTGTCCAATTTTAAATATTTTTGCCCTCCTGGTGGATGTAAAAATGCATGACTGTGAGGTGTGAGGTCTTCTTTTTCCTTTTAAACAATCCTAGGGCTTTCCTTTTACACACTAAAGTTTGAGAAATCGGTTTTCAGCTATAGGAAAAAGTAACAGAGTGATTTCTAGGTGGGGAAAGATTCCTTAAGATCCACAAAAGAAAAAAAGGACTGTCTTTGAGACTGTTCCAAATTGGAAGCTTCTGTTCAACAACAGACATGGCAACATTAACAGGCAGCCACAGGCTACAAGATGTTTGCCATGGCTACAGATGAAAAAGAATGAGTAACTAGCACATTAAGGGAATGCCTGGAAAATGAACAATAAAAATTGGGAACCCACTTGAAAAACTGGCAAAAGATATGAACAAGCAAAAGAAAGAGCAGATAACAGTATACAGGGGCTGTTCAACTTTACCAGCACTCAGACAAGTGCAGGTTGAAACGATGAGGTTCCACGTTACACCCATCACACCAGTATTACCCATTTCTCCATTTTTGTTCATGCGGGTGTGGGGGCAATGGGGACCCTCAGACACTGTGGGTGGCCACTTGCACTGCTGCAAACCCTCTGGAAAGCCATCTGGCAGCATGTGGTGTGCACTGAGGTAAGTGGACACCCTGTGACCCCAAACCTCCATTCCTGGAGGAAACTCTGTGCTCAAAGGCACAGGGGACAACACAAGGGATCTTCATCACAACCTTGTCATGAACACCAACATGAAGGTGAAATGAAAAGATATGCTCACAGTGGAATACTACATAGGAGTTAGAAGGAACAAACTGGATCAAATTGTAGCATCACAGATAAAGGTAAAAAATAAAACTTAAAATATAACTTAAAAAAATAACTTAAGGGGCACTTGGATGGCTTAGTCTATTGGGTGCCCAACTCCTGATTTCAGCTCAGGTCTTGATCTCTTGATCTCAGGGTCATGAGTTCAAGCCCCGTGTTGCACTTGGAGCCTACTTAAAAAAAAAATTTATATATACATAAAAAACTTAATAGAAGCTAAGAAAAAATGAAAATTTACAGCCTGGTACCATTTATGTAAAGATTTTTTTAAAACACACAAAAGTAATCTATATATTTTTTCATAGATACCGATTTATATGGCTAAACACGGAACAAGTGGATTGGGAAGCTCTGCACTCAGGAGAATATGGTGGGAGGAATTGGACCAAAGATGAAGAACAATAGCAAAAGACAAAGGTCCAGCACTGCAGCCCTTACACACATCAAGGACAATGGGAGGCCAAGAGCAAAGAATCGTGGGTCTCTCCTGTTTGGTCACCCGCTTGGTGCTCAGGAATCCAATGGGGGAAGTGGTCCCAAATACAATTCAAGATGTTGCAACTGGCATGGTTTAAAAGCTGGCTGGATGACAAGGAAACTCACAAGCCTGAAGCAAAGAAACGAGAGTGACGAAAAACAAAAATGAAACGAATCAAACCAGTCTGCCAAGTGAGAAAGAGAAACAATCCCTCACCTCCAACTGGGTACATTTCCTGTAACAGGTTTAGTGGATTTAAGGTTTACTTTGGAAGCTAAGATTTTGATACCGTGCCTTATCTTTGCTCTGTCAGAGGCTTTTGAATTTATATGTATATCCTCCACATACAGCATTTAACCCACCAGAATTTTTTCTTGGAATATGGTAATTTGGTCTGCTCACTCTTCCACAGACTCTGGCTTCTAGGGCAAGAGAGAACCCTGGGGTCTGATGAGGCTGATACCTCTTGTTGCAGGGGAACTGATGGTCCGAGCCCAAGGGCTGCCCTGATATGGGGAAAAGAGGTGGACCAAGAGGGACTGGCCCTGGTGATATCAGGCCAGATTTGGCATTTCAACTGTGTTTTGGCCCTGACATCAACTATCAGGCCCCCCAGAAAGCTGCAACTGGAAAGCAGCCAAAGCATATGGCTGTGTAGCTTAATACCCTCAGATGAAAAATTTAAGGGCTCAGAGGGGCTGAGAATTGCCTAAGGTCACAGTAAGTCAGATGCAGAGCTGGGTTTGGCATTCAGAGCTCCTGGCTGCTTGGTCTATGGCTGGAGGTTTTTCCCAGCCAGATCCACTAGACTGGCCCCGAGAAAATAAGGATAGTTGTCCACTTAGGCAACATCCTGGAGCTAGAAGCATTCTTCAGTGGCCATGAGTTCATCCCTGGGTCTCTGGGCTAAAATGCACTCAAAGAAACACAAACAGATCATTTTGGGCATTTCCTCTCTTTTGTCATAACCTTTAGATTCCTACGAAAGAAAAGAAAATTCCCGAACCTGTTATCTATAGCCATCTCTAACCCCTTGCCACCTAACCCACTTGACACCTCCGTAAAGCTCTTAGGAGGTAATCCAAATTCAAATATTGGATTTTTATTGAAGCCGGTGGCCCCACTGCTCTTCTAACCGAGTTTTACATACACAACTGCCCTGCACAACAGGAGATAAAACCAAAGAGAAAAACAGACTATTTAGCTTTCTGTTTAACTGTCAATATACTATATGACGAAGCACACACTTTTGGGACCTTCCTCTCTCCTTATCAGCCCTACAAGGAGGTGGCTAGAGAGGCAACATAAACATTCTCTGAGCATGGCAAACACTCTTGGTCTCAGCGGAGTCTGCTGGTACCAGGCCAGAAAATTAAACCCTCTCTTAAATAAACTAATAGATGCCTTTCTAAAGGGCTTCTACTCCCATGGAAGTTGACTCAGCAGCATAAGTCAGCGGAGGACAAGTGCAACCCGAGCTTGAGCAGCACTTCAGGGCAAGGGCACAGAAGCAAAAAGACACACCACAGAGCAGTACAAACACCCGGCCCCAGAGGGCATGCATGATTTAGCGCTGGGGCAGACACATGGACAGTGGGCAGTGCCTTTCAAAATCCTCCTCCCCATTCTCCCTGGCCTCCTGCGTGACATCTGGGGCCGGCATCTTTTTCTGGCCTGCATGATCTCAACAGGTGGCACCACGAACAGAGTGGAATTAGATGGACCATTAGGAATCAGGAAAGGATCTTTTTTTTTTTTAAACCTGTATTAAAGTGAGATTGTATTCCTTCTGCACATTTCACCTGAAAAATTGGGGCCTAGAGTATTTGGCAAGGGGATGATGCCAAAGGAGGCAATGACCTATATGAACTGATGTCCCTAAGCTGTCAGAATTCAGAGCTGCGGAGAGGTGCGTGAAGGGACAAGTGGTGACAGCAGATCTGTATGTAGTGGTGGTCTGTCCTGTGAAGCGAGGAGAAGAGAGGGAGTGGCACAGGCCCTCGGTAACAAGTTCCTGTTCTGGGCCAGAGAGTCCGACTGTGTCAGAGCAGAAATAGCCAGCTGGGAGTAAACAAGGTGAGGTCGATGAGGAGGGGCAGAGAACAGGGCAGACCCATTAGATCTGACGGACAGGCAAGGAGTGCGGGGAACTGAGGGCCCACGGACGAGGCCCTTGGACCAAGTAAGTCTTCCTCCCGTCTCCAATTCCACTGCACTCCACGCCATTCTACACATCAGCTTCCTGGACTTCCCAGGCAAAGCTGAAATGAAATGATAGGGGCAAGTGAAAGAGTCATTCAGGACTGGAAAGGTGAAGTGGGGCAAGTGAGGAAACATAAAAGTTTCTGTTGGGGACACTATACACTGGAGCGGGAGCCCAATACTCGTGGGTGGAGACCCCATCTGTACCGGATTCCAAGGCCTGAGATGTTGAAAGGCAGGGTAAGTGGAATGTACTGCAGGATGGACAGAAAGGCCAAGAACAGAGCTGTCCGGGAGGAAAATATGGTTCCTGCCTCCAGGTGTGTATGTGAGTCCCCTTCTTTTCCAGCCTTATACCCAGTCCTAGATTCCACATGAGGGAACAAGTATGTGTGAGCCTGGAGAGGGGTGGGGATGGGGGATGCAAAGGGTGTATCTGGGGTTCCTGTGAGATACCTGAGGTCTGGGATGGGGGAAAAAAAAAGAGCCAGACATCCATGACAGTTCTTGTCCTGATGTGACTCCTGTTGGTGGGCATTAAGTGTGAGAGGAGGTGGTGGTCTTGCTCACTGCTCTAAAGGACAAAGGAACGGGGCAGCAGGGAATGGAAGGGAGTGCCTGGCTCTCAGGGCTCGGCATGTGTAAACTGTGTTTGAGGAGGGATCCTTAAAGCTCTGTGTCAGGAGAGGAAAACTTAAGACACTGGATGTACATCTGAGAAACTAAGGATTAGGGAGTTAGAACTGAAGCACTTAGAAATGAGAGTAAGGTTAAAATCTCATCACAAGAGATTCAAGGGGTGAGATGCCCTACTCCCCAGAGCTGATGTAGGTTGAGGGTGAGAAGGCAACAGTGAGGGTCAGGCTGGGAATCCCGTGTGTATGTGGGGTGTGTGGCTGGGAGGATATTTTCTCTGATGAAGTAGAAGAGAACTGAAGGGGCAGAAAGGGGGCCAGGCCCAGTTCTCCCAGGAAGCTAATGCGCAGGATGATGTAAAGGGTGAAAGTCACAGGGAAAGGGCAGGGAAGATGAACAAAGGCTCTCCCAAAGAATTATGCAGTAGGCAGGGCCCAGTAGTCCTGGGGCTCTGTGGGTGTGACGACAAGGTCCCCAGCTCTAAGAGGCAGAGCCTGAGGATGGGAGAGCGGGAGGGGCTGACCCTATAGGGGTTGACCCTGTAGGGGCAGCAGTTGGGGAGGTAACCTTACCTGGCTCTCAGATCCAGGGTGCAGGGGTGTACCTGTGGGGAGGGGGTGCGGCATAGTGGGGAGGGGGGTGCGGCATAGTGGCTGTTTCCCAGAACCTGAGCTGGGGATGACAGCGGTGAGTGGGCTGCACTGGGCCCTTCAGTAAAAGGTGAAAGGTGTGTGTGCTCTCTGGGCCCGTGCTGAGGAGTAAAGAAAGGGTCCCTGAGGGCGGCTGAACGGATCAAAGATCACCCGTATAAGCGTGCTTGGTTTCAGATTATCCGGTGGAGGCCCGAACACAATATTGAGTACCACCCTCGCCGCTGTGTGGGAAGGAGCTCGGCGGAGTTCAGGCAGGTGAGGAGTGCTCAAGGGGAGCGCTCCCGTCTCAGTGTCAGGTCCACACGATCCTGGCCTGGGAGACTGCGAGGCTGTGCTGAAGCGAGCTTCTGTGCTTGGGTTTCCAAATCATGTTGCCCCAGCTGTGTTGTGAGGGGCGCTGGGCCTGGCCAGCAGAGCAGCTCCCGGACCCGCACACCAAACCGAAGGTGCCAGGAGCCCCAGGGCTGGGACTCGGGCGGGGGAGCGTCAGGCGCTCTGGCCCAGAGCTCCGGTCCTTGGATCCGGGCAGAAGACACCTCACCCCACCACCCCGGCACCGGGCCGGCTCTCTGGAGTACCTGGTCGCCGACACCCAAGGCGTAGTAGCCGTGCGTCACCACCTCCCAGTGCAGAAAGCAGATGAGCGCGTCCTGCGCGCAGGTGATGGCCGGCGCCGCCGATGCGTACAGTACCTCCAAGCCCGCCATGCGCGCCCCCGGCTCCTGCGGGCGGAGGAAGGAAGGGAGACAGTGCCGTGAGCCGACTGGGCCCAGCGACTGCGGAGGACTACCCTCCGCTACTCCCCCCGCCCAGGCCTAGTCCCCACCTGCGGCCAAAATGGAGACGCCCGGGGGCGGAGCGCGGCCGTCGGAAGTAGCTCCAAGCGCCGGCTCAGCAGCGCGAATGCGCCGGCTGGAAACTGGAGCGGGGCACTTAAAGGTTCCACCAGGCCGCTCGCCGGCGGGGCGGGGCTCTTTAAAGTGGGAACCTCTTTTTTCCAGGTAGCTGGAGGGAGGGCCACAGGCCGGATGTTAAATTAGGCCGCGAGGAGAGGCCACCTTGTTCTGAGCCACAGACTTACCATCCGCAGAACGGGATGACACAGGGGCACTTGGAGGCCCGTGCAAGCCCAGAGGCGGCATCTAATTGAGGCTAGGAGTCAGGGAGAGCTTCTAGGAGGAGGGGATGCCCAACGACACTGAACCATAATGGAAGAGTGGGAGGAGTGGGAGGGAAATGAGGCACAAAAGTATTCCCGTAGAAGGGACCGGCCCACGCAAAGGCATGAAGGTGTGAAATGCGGCTAGTCCTGTGTGATGAAGGGATCAATGCTGCCTCCTGAGTGAGACCTTCCCCCATCTCCTCTGCCCACAATTTCTCTGTCCTCAGTGCATTTGACATTAGTGGGGTGCCAAGGAGCAGGCACGGGACAGCAAGAGCCATCGCCTCAATAGGGAGGAGAATTTTATAATTGAAGCTTAATAGAATGGCTGGTTTATAATAAAAAGCAGACTGGCCAGTTTTATTACTGCTTTTAACTTTTTTACAGCCAAGACACCCCCTCATTGCCTGCACCTGGGCAGTAGAGCTCCCCCACCCTTCCCTTGGTTCAGCCACTGCTTTGCATACAATTATAGCTTGAGTCTCACAGAACTTTGGTTCCCTATAATACATCGTCATCCCTGCATTAGTCTTCCCTCAGAAGCCAACATGAGACAGGGATTTGAGTGGTTTATTTGGGAGCTGATTCCAGGAAATAGCAGCAAGAGGGTGGGGGAAGGGAGACTAGGAAGTGACCAGTAGATGTTATGTGATCAAGCCAGGTACCTCTGGGCACCTGAGCTCAGCCCTGACCAGCAACTCTGGGAGACACATTTCCCAGACTTGTCCCGACTGAGGATGAGAGAATTAAGGTGGTTTTTTGCACTCACTCCCTGGTTGAGGGCTGCTTCCGGGGGGCATGAAAAGCCCTCAGGTAGAGAATTGCCGAGTTTAGAGGAAGTGGCCTTTGGTGCTTAGAAATGACTGCTAAGGAGTGAAGTGGACACCATGGCCTCTGCTATTCCCCAGCTCCCCCACCCCCACCCCCAAGGGTGAGCCGCGCCTTGCTAGTCTGTGGCCCAGCCGGCTGCATGGCGTAGTTTCCAGCACCTGTGTATCACGAGAATGAGGTAAGCTCTGTCCCTCGCACTAGGCTGTGTGCCCTTTGGGCCAGTACTGTGTTCCGTCCACCCATGAACTCCAGGGTCCTCCATGGATGAGAATAAAAGAGAGGGTCCTCTGGGACCAGAGGGTTGTCTGTGTCCTGCCCCTGGTCCACCCAGCACTTTCTGGGCACTTACCACCATCAACAGGAGTCTCAGTTGTCCCTGTGAGGCCTGTGATTGGCTGAGAAAGGAAGCAGGTAGAAGGTGCTTCCCCAACTGGGCCCTCGCTCCCTGGGCAGTGCAGAGCCCATGCCAGAGATAAGGGTGAGGGCCCAGGATGTTGAAAGGAACATGGGAGGTGGCTGCAGCCACCAGCTCCTGGTTGCCAAGTGACAGCAATGTGAGGATTCCAAGCTCCCTGGAAACTGTCTCCCTGGAAACTGTGAGGAGGTGAGCGGAGGGGCAGGGCCCAAATGGGCACTGAGATGGAATTATTCAGCACTGGAAGCCTTCTGCTTTTTTGGCCTAGCGTCATTCTAACAACCTCACCTCCTCCAGGAAGCCCTCTATCATTAATAGTGTTCAGTACGGGAACCCATTGGATGGGTTGCAATGTAAAGATTAGGGAAAGCTGCCTCTAGCTTTCAGAGAGTTGCAGGAACTGCAGGAGAGCACCAGCAATGATCACAGCTGCCTCTTGTCCTAAGGCAGTATTCAGGGGAAAATCTGCAGAGGCTGCAAAACTGAAAAGAAACTCTGGATCCACGGCTATTGGAGAAGCAATAAGGTGCTTCTGCTGCCTCCCATTGCCTGGATCTAACCCGGGGAATCCTGCCGACAAGTCATTCTGGAAAAAGGCAGGCGGGATGGGGATGGTATTGAGGCTTTGACAGACAAATTGACCAATACTATCTTATTTAATTCCCATAACTCTTTAAGGTAGAAACTATTATGACCTTCATTTTTAAAGTGAGAAGAGTAAGGCACAGTAAGGTTGTACAGTTGCTCCTAAGTGATGCAGTCAGGATTTGAACCCCATAGTATGTCTATACACTACATCGCCACATGGCTGTGCCCCGAGATAGCATTGAAAGGGTTTGCAGGTGGGCGCCTGGGTGGCTCAGTTGGTTAAGCGACTGCCTTCGGCTCAGGTCATGATCCTGGAGTCCTGGGATCGAGTCCCGCATCGGGCTCCCTGCTCAGCAGGGAGTCTGCTTCTCCCTTTGACCCTCTTCCCTCTCGTGCTCTCTATCTCTCGTTCTCTCTCTCAAATAAATAAATAAAATCTTTAAAAAAAAAAAAAAGGGTTTGCAGGAGAACCTCAAGGTTCTGAGGTCTGCACAGAAGAAAGTGAGAGAGCTGTGACTGAGTTTTTCAGACTTCAGCTGGAGCCTGGGAAGGAGGAAACAGGGAGGGGAAAGGGTTTAGGCTGGGGACAGAGAAATGGTCTAAGCATGGGAAGCCTCTCCAACCACAGGGACACGGGGAGGGCCCATGCAGAGACAAAAGAAGCCACAAGAGGGCGCCCGGGCCCACCCAAATGCCCACCTAGGGAAGCCAGGCAGGGTGAGGGGCTTATCTCCCTTGTCCTCTTTCTAAGGGGAGGTTCAGGGGAGCCTTAGACTGGGGACCCCACAGCAGGCTGTGTCCTCAGTGTGGTCAGAATTTTCACGCACGGAAATGCCTGCTTGTAGCTCTGTGCACTGTTGACCCCAAGGGGAGACTGTCCTCAGGGAACCCCAGTCCCAGCGGTCAGAGGGTCTGCTCTGCTCCTTTCTGAGGCCATTCTCCTTCTCGAAGACATCTTTGTATCCATCCTTTCTCAGACTTGGTCCTGATCCTCTCCCCTGCCCCCCGCACCTCAGCCACGTCTAGTCCCAGCCCCAAAGTCCCATCAGGCCCTTGCCCCACCTGGTGTGGCAGGTGGCAGGGGTGACCAGCCTCATCTTGAGAGGCCAGAAGCTTTGCCTATCGCTTCCCTAACTAGAGCATCAGCTTCATGAGTGCAGGGATGGCATCTGTTTGGTTCACTGCCGCCCCTCCAGCTCTTAGAACAGTGCTTGGTAAACCTAGTGGTTCCCAATAAGTATTTGTTGAATCAACGAATAAATGAACAAATGCACAGATTGGACAAGTGTCTAGATCTTGGAGTCAGGTAACCTGGGTTTATATCTCAGTCCCAGTGCTTACTCCCTGTGCAACTTGGGGCAGATGACTTATCAAATTGTCAAGTAGGGATTATAATGGTGTCTCTGGCGGGGTTGTCCAGAAGATTCCTGGGGATGATGTCACTAAAGTACCTCCCATGGCACCTGGCCCATGGTGGGGGCTCCTAAGCGGTGGCTCATCATTTGAGCTAATGAGCCCTTAGAAAGCAGCTGCTATTTATTGAGAATTTACCATGTGTCTGGCACTCGGCTTATGTTCTCCAATTCCATTTTCTTAACTACTTGGTGAGAGGTTGAGGAGCTCAGCGGAGTTCAATAACGTGCCCAGGGTGACAAAGCTGAGAAGAACAAACTTGGGTTTCTGTCCAGATGTTGAAGACCACAGCGTGCAAGGTCAGACTTCTTGGGTTCAAGTCCTGGCTCTACCACTTACAAGTGGTTTGACTTTGGGCACGTTTCTTAGTAGGGAGATGTCAGAAGGGGCAGAGGCCTGGGCCATTCTTTCGGGTTTGGAGGAGTCAAAGACACCACCAACTATAATGCTGCAGCTTCGTTCCCTTGAGATTGAGCGACCTGCCAAGGCCTCTGGAACCTGCTTTTCAACCCCAGCACCACCTGGACCCCCAATACACACCGGGCCATTTCCAAATGTATTCTTTGGACTCCACCTGGAGCTGGAGTTACAATGTAGTCAAGTAGGCAGGACACACACACACACACACACACACACAGCTTCAGAGGAAGAAAGGGTTGGCTTTAGCTGTGTAACCTGGGCTAGGTTGCTCTGCCTCTCTGAGCCCTAATTTCCTCATTTGTAAAGTGAAGGGTAATAAGTAGTGTCCCATAGGAGCATCATCTAGAAAATGCCCATGGCAGCACTGAATCCTGAGCAGTGGAGGTAAGCAAGGGGCAACGGGAAGGTCGATTTACAGGACTATTGCCAGAAGGATCTGGCATTGATTTCTACAGCCCTGTTAAAGGTCCTTTTCAGAAAAAGGTAAAATCCTGATTTTCATACATATCTGGAAGGGAACATGTGTTAAAGACTTTATTTTACTTGTTAAACAATGAGGGAATCAGATGTTAGAACCGGTTCAAAGAAAAAATCAAAAAGGCACGAATTCATATGGACTAAAAGAAGTGAATTAGAAATGGAGGCAAAGCTAGTTTCTCCACAAAAGGGAGGGAAGTGAATTCTACCAGACAAGACAGAGTTTGCATGCTGATGAGTTACTCACCAAAGAGGAGCAAAATAGCTCAAAGACAATGAACAGGGCGAGAATCAGACCACGGGAGGATCTACTCCTTTCTCTGTGGCCCATTTTGGCCCAGACATTCCAGGCCCAGTTTCTCATCCTGGCAAGTGCAGCGCTTCTCAGCTCTTCTGGGATCAGTGTCCTCATCTGTAAAATGGGGTCACTAACTGTCTGGCCTCCCAGGGTTGTCGTGTAGGTGACACAAGCTGGTGGAGTTCAGTCTAGATGGGGCCTCGTGTGTGGGGTGGATCAGGCCCTCAGTTCATTCTCCTCACAGCTCGATAC